GCACAGACATATACTCTGACATGCAGACACATACAGACAACAAAGGGGCACACACAACACACACAAAGAAACACACATAGACATGCACAGACAGACAGACACATGCTGACACATACAGTCACGCAGACAGACATACAGACACCCACACACAGAGATACATACATACAGCCTCATAGACACACCCGCAGACAAAACACATAAACATACACAGGCAAACATGAAGACAAACACATACGGGGACACACACAGACACAAACGAAGATATACACACAGTCACATCAAATATGCAGAAAAAGAAACCAGTTCACACTGAAACATACACGTGGACATACGCGCGAACACACACACATTCGCACATACACAAGGACACAGACGCATACATTCGCAGACACACACGCAGATACACAAGCAGACAAACAACATACTCAGAGTCATATATATACAAACACGCCTACGCGTGCATACATATCAAGCACACGCGCGCGCGCAAACATACATATCATACACACCTTGTTTAATAATAAATTGATAATGCAGTATGGGTTACATTACATTCAAGGTGGTATATAATCGCTTGTAAGTATGAATTGAAAAAGTTTACGGTTGAATGAATAGGGACTTTTAGAATTTTTCAGGTCTAGTGGAAGTTGGTTCCACAAATGAGCAGCGGAGTACGCTAAACTTGTTTTATATAAATCTATTATAGGTTTAGGTAAATGTAATAAATTTAGTCGCTTGCTATTTATAGGATTTGATTTAATTAATCGGAAAAGGGAGGAGAGGAGGGAGAGGGTGGGGGAGGGAGAGAGAGAGAGAGAGAGAAAGAGACAACTGACATTTTTTTGCCACATTAAAAGACATAATACGCTTTGAAAAATATACTGGATCGAAAGGTCGTGGGCTGAGGGGCAAGAAGTAGACAACGTTACAATTGGGAGGATCACAGCAGTCTGAAAGAGTATACACACAAGATCGAGGACATGGCGTGTTGGAGATCCATTGCAGCCAACTTTCATTGTGGAGACGACACCTGATTGATGAAGTGTTTGACTGTATACGGTCTCTACGGTGAAAGTTGACCACAGTAAGACCACTGCTGTCCATGAGAAAATTTACGTGTTGATGGCTCAGTCTCTCCCAGGGTGTGACTCTCATTCTTTCTGTCTTTTGTCCATATTCTACTTTGAGTCGCTAGTTATCACAGGTTAACAGATGATTGGTTAACTAGCTAGGGCACACTAAGTTGCCTGGAATGTCGTGATGTTGCGAATCTCAGTAATCAGTGACACCTTCAATCCATTGTCTTCTTGATCGTCCTCTCGGTGTTTCTACTTTCATGCTGCATGCATAACCCAGACCACAAATATAGGCGGAGACTGTTAGCAGCCTAGGCTAGCTAGCAGCAGTCTGAACGTGGTCGAGCTTTTCTTTTTTTCTTAAAAGGACTTGGACTTGGACTCTCGCTGCTGGCACCATTGGATTCAGTCCTAATAAATGGCCAAACCATTTCAGTCTTTTTTTTTTGTCCATGAATATAAATATATATTTTTATTTCCACAGTTCTTGTAATTTCTTAGTTGCTGACATATCTTCTAGTTTTCTTTAACGTCTTTCTGGAACATCTCATTTCACAGATGGTAAGTTTCGTTTCGTGTTCTTTTGTTTATGTCCTAGTCTGACAATGAGAGCACAAAGTTGGTGTAAAGACTGCATTTATAATTAGGCTTTTTGTCTCTATTGGGATAGCCGGTGTTTCAAAAGTGGGATCAGTTGATAGTCACATTGTTGGCTTGTTGATTTTTTGTTTCAATCTCTCCGTCTATTTTGCCATCATATGTAGAGATACTTTCTACGCCTTTGATGTGTTGAGCAAGTTTTAAACTTTGATCTTTTATCTTTACCTCGATTGATTGATGTTCTCTTGCCTCTATTTTACTATGTTTATGCTCTTATCATGTCTGAGACAGCTTGGTGTAGTTTGTCTATGTGGTCCTGCAGCTGATTAACTTGACTGTAGAATAGGCATTGGTCATTGGCGAAACAGTCAACATTCTCCAGTTCATCCACGTCTGCTGACCATTATTTGATATTGACTATGAACATGATAAAAAAGGAAAAATAATTTAACACATTTTGGTCTTACTTCTTCCTTGTATGGGTTCCGGTGTCCTATTGTGGGGGAAAACAAGAATTGGCACAGTGATTCCCTAACAAGCATGTCGCGTGAGGCGACAAACTGGGGGCATCTTTCTAAGCCAGAGTACATCTGCCTCAGAGAGAAGGAACTAACAGTATCCGTACAGACATGCCAGATGTGTAAAACGGATGAGCACGCAACACTCAGATGCTTGAACAAGACAAACGTCCTGAGGTGGGCTAACAACCAGAAAATTATTACTGAGTTTACAGCCAGTGAACGATGTAAGAAGAATAAGAGTTTTACTCTTGATGTTACTGGATACCTAATGTTATTGGAAACCTGATGTTATTGGAAACCTGATGTTATTGAAAACCTGATGTTATTGGAAACTTGATGTTATTGGAAACCTGATGTTATTGGAAACCTGATGTTATTGGAAACCTGATGTTATTGGAAACCTGATGTTATTGGAAACTTGATGTTATTGGAAACCTGATGTTTTTGGAAACCCGATGTTATTGGAAACCTGATGTTATTGGAAACTTGATGTTATTGGAAACCTGATGTTATTGGAAACCTGATGTTATTGGAAACTTGATGTTATTGGAAACTTGATGTTATTAGAAACTTGATGTTATTGGAAACCTGATGTTATTGGAAACCTGATGTTTTTGGAAACCTGATGTTATTGGAAACTTGATGTTATTGGAAACTTGATGTTATTGGAAACTTGATGATATTGGAAACCTGATGTTATTGGAAACAAACCTGTAAGGCCAGCTCTTGTTCTGACGGCATACTACCTTCTCTATAGATGGCTCTTGTGTAGTCTAACATTATTCCTTTTATTTGATAATTTTCCAGAACTACCCAATAATTATCTGTTTAGTCTGTCGAAAGATATTTCTTGATCTTTAAAGGCAACATTCTTTTTGTTATGTGCTCTATTGTCACTTTATTAATTTTTTTCTCGAGCGAATATAAAATCAGTTTATCCTCTTACTTTCTCCCTCTACTACAGTGTGAAAACCAAGAGAACAGTTGTTGCTTTAATCAATCATCTAACGCGAAAACCGAACTGTAGAACTCATAAAACATGAAGCTGTTAAACGCATTCACTAGTCTCTAAGGCACACTATACACAAAAACAGAAAGGGCATGCCTCAAGTCCAGAAATGTCCTTCTCCCATTGTAGGTGAGCATTCAGTTCTAACAATCTTCTTCCATTGTAGGTGAGCACTCAGTTCTAACCATCTTCTTCCTTTGCAGGTGAGCACTCAGTTCTAACCATCTTCTTCCATTGCAGGTGAGCACTCAGTTCTAACCATCTTCTTCCATTGCAGGTGAGCACTCAGTTCTAACCATCTTCTTCCATTGCAGGTGAGCACTCAGTTCTAACCATCTTCTCCCATTGCAGGTGAGCACTCAGTTCTAACCATCTTCTCCCATTGTAGGTGAGCACTCAGTTCTAACCATCTTCTCCCATTGTAGGTGAGCACTCAGTTCTAACCATCTTCTTCCATTGTAGGTGAGCACTCAGTTCTAACCATCTTCTTCCTTTGCAGGTGAGCACTCAGTTCTAACCATCTTCTTCCATTGCAGGTGAGCACTCAGTTCTAACCATCTTCTTCCATTGTAGGTGAGCACTCAGTTCTAACCATCTTCTTCCATTGCAGGTGAGCACTCAGTTCTAACCATCTTCTTCCATTGTAGGTGAGCACTCAGTTCTAACCATCTTCTTCCTTTGCAGGTGAGCACTCAGTTCTAACCATCTTCTTCCATTGCAGGTGAGCACTCAGTTCTAACCATCTTCTTCCATTGCAGGTGAGCACTCAGTTCTAACCATCTTCTCCCATTGCAGGTGAGCACTCAGTTCTAACCATCTTCTCCCATTGTAGGTGAGCACTCAGTTCTAACCATCTTCTCCCATTGTAGGTGAGCACTCAGTTCTAACCATCTTCTCCCATTGTAGGTGAGCACTCAGTTTTAACCATCTTCTTCCATTGTAGGTGAGCACTCAGTTCTAACCATCTTCTCCCATTGTAGGTGAGCATTCAGTTCTAACCATCTTCTTCCATTGTAGGTGAGCACTCAGTTCTAACCATCTTCTTCCATTGCAGGTGAGCACTCAGTTCTAGCCATCTTCTTCCATTGCAGGTGAGCACTCAGTTCTAACTATCTTCTTCCATTGTAGGTGAGCATTCAGTTCTAGCCATCTTCTTCCATTGTAGGTGAGCACTCAGTTCTAACCATCTTCTCCCATTGCAGGTGAGCACTCAGTTCTAACCATCTTCTTCCATTGCAGGTGAGCACTCAGTTCTAACCATCTTCTCCCATTGCAGGTGAGCACTCAGTTCTAACCATCTTCTTCCATTGCAGGTGAGCACTCAGTTCTAACCATCTTCTCCCATTGTAGGTGAGCACTCAGTTCTAACCATCTTCTTCCATTGTAGGTGAGCACTCAGTTCTAACCATCTTCTTCCATTGTAGGTGAGCACTCAGTTCTAACCATCTTCTTCCATTGCAGGTGAGCACTCAGTTCTAACCATCTTCTTCCATTGCAGGTGAGCACTCAGTTCTAACGATCTTCTTCCATTGTAGGTGAGCACTCAGTTCTAACCATCTTCTTCCATTGTAGGTGAGCACTCAGTTCTAACCATCTTCTTCCATTGCAGGTGAGCACTCAGTTCTAACCATCTTCTTCCACTGCAGGTGAGCACTCAGTTCTAACCATCTTCTTCCATTGCAGGTGAGCACTCAGTTCTAACCATCTTCTTCCATTGCAGGTGAGCACTCAGTTCTAACCATCTTCTTCCATTGTAGGTGAGCACTCAGTTCTAACCATCTTCTTCCATTGCAGGTGAGCACTCAGTTCTAACCATCTTCTTCGACTTCCGACGCCACACCGGGTACTTCCTGATACAGGTCTACTTGCCATGTTGCCTGCTTGTGGTCCTCTCTTGGGTGTCTTTTTGGATCAACCGGGAGGCAACCGCTGACAGGATCTCCCTGGGTATGTCTGTTTGTGTTCGATGCATTCGTTCCTTCATTCACAGTAGATAGTCTTGTTACAATATCGTCTATCATTGAATTTTTTTCACCTGTCTACATTTTTTTGATAACTGCAGTCGTGTAATTTTTTTCTACTAGTAAGTAAGTAAGTTAGCTGTACCCCAGCGGGACTTCACACAATTGATAAACACCCGGTGACACAACGTGCCACCATTCGGATGAGGACCACCCGTTGAGAGGTCCCGGAAACCCCTTTCAGCCGTTTAGGCCATATCTATGGCTAGACCATATTTATGGTCCGGCTATATTAAGGGCCACCTGCAAAAGCCAGGGTAGGGCTTCAAATTAACAAAAATTGCATCCCACGCGGGGACGACTTATACATTCTGTTTACTTATTCTTTTTATTTCAAATTACAGGAGTAGTGTAAATATTTCCATTGTGTACAGTTTTAATAGCACTAGTTATGGATGTATTTCTCCTGTCTACGTTTTTGTATTTTTTTATGGCAGAGGTCATTGCATTATTTCCTATGATTATTTCTTTTTAAAATCACAAGTGAGTGACGTTCAGGCCATCAATGGATGGCAGCGTAGGAGGCACCCGTTAGCTTTGAACAGCAGTCAATCTGGGAGACGATAAACTCAAATTATAAACCAGCACGATCGCACAACGAGCGATTAACACTTGGTGACACAAAGTATGCATGCACGCATACATACATACATACATGCATACATACATACATACATACATACATACATACAGACAGACAGACAGACAGACAGACAGACAGACAGACAGACAGACAGACAGACAGACAGACAGACAGACAGACAGACAGACAGACAGACAGACAGACAGACAGACAGACAGACAGACAGACCTCAAGCCTCATGTGACATATAGTGCCGGACAATGACGATGACTTGTCGGAGATCTCGGCACCTTCTATGGAGAGGGGGAGATAATCACCGGACATGCAAACCTTGTGTGGCAGATAATGGCTCCACAAGATTATGACGTGTCATTAAATTATTGTCTTGGTCCATTGTTCGTAGCAGTATTTGGCATTTTTCCATGTGCAAAGGCTGACCTAGGCGAAGGTGGATATAAAACAGTGAGGATTTATCGGCTAGGAAAGCACAAAGGGTGGAGGACTGACTAGTGAAGAGAGACTTTCAGGCGGGCCGTGAAGAGAGTCATCTTCTGTAAAGGATCTGATGATTGGTTATGTACGGTATTTGCAACCCTAAGCTGTCATGGAGAGCCCCTGGTTTGATCCTTGATAAACATAGCTGTGTTTCTTCCCCTGTCGGGATCAACTAAATATATCATCTCTAACATGCACAGCTCGTGGCGACTGCAGCGGTCATGTGGGTTCAAAATCCTTAGGCTCGCCATTTGATTCCTCTAAACCGCCTTAAGAGTGGTAGTTACAGGATGTAAGACAGCATGTCATGGGATAATCTCACCTTCTCCACGTCTGATCACCAGGGTCTCTCACGATGTTGACCATGACGTTTCTGGTGCTGGACTCCAGGAACGACCTACCTCGGGTCGCCTACTCAACAGCGTTAGACATCTACGTCCTCATGTGCTTCTGCTTCATCTTCGCCTCCATCATCCAGTTTGCTGCCGTCCACTTCTACACCAAGTACGGAACTGCGGATCCTGAGTTGCAGCCAGTTCCCGAGACAGATGATGAGGTCTGACTTGTGTACGAGTGGTTGTCTTTGTAACTGACTGTTTGTATTGTTGATACACACGAATATTACTTTATTAATCTTTGCTTTAGAAAGAATGTTAGATTTTTTTTCCACAGACCTTGTTTGCAACTCTGCTTCTTTAAAGGCAGCTTTCACTATTCTATAACTGGAGACGGGGAAATCATAGCTTATCATTGTGTTGTTTGTCCCTTGCAGGGCATCGCCCTCATCACAGCCCGCATGGAAAATCTTCCGACTCGAGCACTTCTCTAAGGTGTCCCTTAAATCATGTGCCAGTCTCTATGCTGGTCATCCCATCCCATCTTTCTTGGCATCACGCTTTTGTCCATGGCCTGACTAATTAATTCCAGTGACTTGTATGTGTTCAGTAAGACAAAGTCAATTATTACACACCCCGGTGGCGACCAAGGGAACAGACGGTCGGCTATCTAGTTGAAGGGATAACTAGTCGATTAGATACGTATGCGATACAGTAAGAAGAAAAGACATCGAGTAACTTAAAATGGTCGAGTGACGAAATACATCGAGCGACTTGAGGCATCCCAAGTCTAGAGGTTGATTTTGTAGGAAACTTTAGTGAACGACGTAAGAAAAACAACCAGTGACCAACTAGAGAAGTACACTGAGCCACTTATCAAGGATTTTTTGTGAACCATTTACAAAGACCAGTGACCCAGCTGCGAGGTACATAGTGCAACTTATGGAATCCCTTGGCTCACAAACCCATCCTCTAACAATCGACTCGACGACTTTCCCCCTCACTGAACATCAGCCTTTAACATTGTGACGTTTCATCAAATCAATTTACTCAAAATGTTTCTACTTTGATATATCACTTTATGCTACAGGTGCCTTGATACCCCAAATCTAACTAGCCGACACATGACATACTCGCTCACTGAGCACATACACCTAACATTGTAACATGCCACAATCACCCCTTTTTTCCTAACTTTGTGAGGGTTTTTTAGACTCTATATAAAGTCATAGCACCATACGTAGTGACCCTCAATGACCCCTAAAACTACTCATAAAGTAGCTGACATGTTAACTTGACCCCCTTAGAAGAAGAAGAAAGAAGAAAGAAGAAGAGAAGAAAAAAGAAGAAGAAAGAAGAAAGAAAAAGAGAAGAAAAAAGAGAAGAAAGAAGAAGAAGAAGAACGAGAAGAAAAGAAGAAGAAGAAGAAGAAAGAAGAAGAAAGAAGGAGAGAAGAAATGAAGAAGAAAGAAGAAGAGAAGAAAAAGGAGAAGAAGAGAAGAAGAAAGAAGAAGAGAAGAGTATTAGAAGAAGAAAAGCAAGAAATGAAGGTTTTAAGAGAACGAAGAAGAAAGAAGAAGAGAGAAGGTGATAAGAAAAGAAGAAGAAGAAGATATGAAGAAGAAAGGGAAGAACGAAAAAGAAAAGAAGAAGAAAGAAGAAAGAAGAAGAAGAGAGAAGAAGAAAGAGAAAAAGAAAGAAGAAGAAAGATGGAAAAAGAACGAAAGAAGAAGAGAAAGAAGAGAAAGAAAGAAGAAGAAGAGAAGAGAGAAGAAGAACGAAGAAGAAGAGAAAGAAGAAAAGAAAGAAGAGAAGAAAAGAAAGAAGAAGAAGAAGAAAGAAAGAATTGAAAAGAGAAGAAGAAAGAAATGAAAAGAAAAAAAAGAAGAGAAGAAGAAAAGAAGAAAAAGAAGAAGAAGAAGAAGAAGAAAAGGAGAAGAAAGAAGAAGAAGGAAGAGAAGAAGAAAGAAGAAGAAGAGAAGAAAAGAGAAGAAAAAAAAAAAGAAGAGAAGTAAGAAGAAGAAGAAAGGAAAGAGAGAAGAAGAAGAAGAAGAAGAAGAAGAAAAGAGAAGAAGAAGAAGAAAAAGAAAGAGTAAGAAGAGAAAGAAGAAAGAAGAAGAAAGAGAAAGAAGAGAAGAAAAGAAGAAGAAAGAAGAAGAAGAAGAAGAAGAAGAAGAAAGCAGAGAAGTAAGAAGAAGAAAGAAGAGAGAAAGAGAAGAAGAATGAAGAAGAAGAAAAAGAAGAAGAAAGAGAAGAAGAAGAAGAAAAGAAGATAGAAGAGAAGGAGAAAGAAGAAGAAGAAAGAAGAAGAAAAGAAGAAAGAAGAAGAAGAAAGAAGAAAAGAGAAAGAAGAAGAAGAAAAAGAAGGAAGAAGAAGAAGAAAGAAGAAAAAGAAGAAAAGAAGGAAGAGAAGAAGAAGAAGAAGAGAAGAAGAAGGAAAGAAGAAGAGAAGAAGAAGAAGAAAGAAGGAGAAGAAAGAAGAAAGAAGAAGAAGAAAAGAAGAAGAAGAGAAAGAAGAGAAGAAGAAGAAGAAGAAAGAAAGAAGAAAGAAGAAGAAAGAAGAAGATGAAGAAGAAGAGAAGAAGAAGAAGAAGAAGAAGAAGAAGAAGGAAGAAGAAAAGGAAGACAGAAGAAGAAGAAGAAGAAGAAGAAGAAGAAGAAGAAGAAGAGAGAAGAAGAAAAAAGAAGAAGAAGAGAGGAAGAAGAAGAAGAAGAAGAAGAAGAAGAAGAAGTAAGGGAGAGGAGAAGGAAAAAGAAGAAAGAAGAAGAAAGAAGAAAGAAGAAAGAAGAAGAAGAAGAAAGAGAAGAAGAAAGAGGAGAAAGAAGAAGAAAGAGAAGAAGAAGAAGAAGAAGAAGAAGATAAGAAGAAGAAGAAGAAGAAAAGAAAGAAGAAGAAGAAAAAGAAGAGAAGAGATAAGAAGAAGAGAAGAAGAAGAAGAAGAAGGAAGAAGAAGAAGAAGAAGAGAAGAAAGAAGAAAGAAGAAGAAAAGAAAAGAAGAAAAAGAAGAAGAAGAAGAAAAAAGAAGAACGAAGAAAGAAAGAAGAGAATGAAGAAGAAGAAAAGAAGAAGAAGAAGAAGGAAGAAGAAGAAGAAGAAAGAAGAAGAAGAAGAGAGAGAGAAGAAATGAAAAGGAAGAAGAGAAAAAAGGAAGAGAAGAAAGAAAGAAAAGAAGAAGAAGAAACAGGAAGAAGAAAGAAGAAGAAGAACGAAAAGAAGAAGAAAGAGAAGAAGAAGAGAGACGAAAAAGGAAGAAGAAGAAAGAAGAAGAAAGAAAAGAGAAGAAGAAGAAAAAGAAAGAAGTAAGAGAAGAAGAAGGAAGAAGAAGAAGAGGAAAGAAGAAAGAAAAGAGAGAAGAAAGAAAGAAGTAGAGAAGGGGAAGAAAGAAAGAAGAGAAGAAGAGATAAGGAAGAGAGAGAGAAGAGAGAGAGAGAAGAAGAAAAGTAAGAAGAAGAATGAGAAGAAGAAGAAGAAGAAGAAGAAGAAGAAAGAAGAAGAAGTAAGAAGAAGAAAATTGAAGAAAGAAGAAGAGAAGAAGAAGAAGAAGAAGAAGAAAGAATAAGAAGAAGAAAGAAGAAGAAGTGAAGAAGAAGGTAAGAAGAAAAAGAAGTGAAAGAAAAAAGAAGTGAAAAGTAAGAGAAAAGAAGAAGAAAAGAGAAGAGAAAAAGGACAGAGAATAAGAAAATACAGAAGAATGATTTGAGAAAGTGAAGAATAAGAAGATAAGTATAAGAGATGTAATATGAAATAATAATAATATAGATAGAGAAGAGATATAAGAGAGAGAGGACCATCTCCAAGCTAATTTAAGAATCAGTTCGGATTAAAGATGTGGGAAACCTGTCTGATTAAGAAATACTCAATGAGAGAAGACTAAATTTGAACCTCATGAAAAAATAAGCACCATTTCGGCTGTTTATGTTTGTGGTGACATGACCCTTAGGTGACCTTTTACTGTGACACTGCCTAAGAGAAGGGTATAGAAAAATTTTGCTTTTAAAAAGTGGCACAGAGAGAGTGAGAGAGAAAGAGAGAGAAGTGAAGAGAAGAGAGAGAGACAGACAGACAGATGGAACGCATGAGATGCAATGGTTGAAAAGGGAGTGGGAAGGAGAAATGAATGCTCTGCATACATTTTTGTTCTTGAAATATAACTCGTTTTATTATCATTTCGGAATAGGTAAAAAGATTGTGAATAAAAAAAAAAAACATCTTTAAAAATATTTCATTAAGTATGAGTCTCATCCAAATGGTGGCACTTTGTGTCACCGGGTGTTAGTGGCTTGTTGTCGTATATTGACCGTCAGTCATATCCTTTGCCTTTTCTTAAATCTCGGCTATGGATACCACACGCCTGGGATTGAATCCAGCACTCCAAGATTATGAAGCGCGTTCACAGCTTACTTTACCCGCTATGAACTCATGTCGGAGAGGCTCGGAGGGAGGTTTGCAAGTTCTTTCCTCTATTCTTCATGTGGATGAAAACCTCATCCTTAGGAGGGAGGGTTTAAGTTTTTTCCTTTATTTTCCGTGTGGACTGGTCCCTCTGGAGGATAAGGATTGGAGTTTTCTCCTCTATTTTCCATGTGGAGAATTATTAATAGTAGCCGATATATATATATATATATATATATATATATATATATATATATATATATAATACTACTGTAGGTGTAGTAATTGTTGTAGCTGTTGTGCTAGTGGGTGTAGTAGTAGTAGTAGTAGTAGTAGTGTAGTAGTAGTAGTAGTAGTAGTAGTAGTAGTAGTAGTAGTAGTAGTAGTAGTAGTAGTAGTAGTAGAAGCAGCAGCAGCAGCAGCAGCAGCAGCAGCAGTAGTAGTAGTAGTAGTAGTAGTAGTAGTAGTAGTAGTAGTAGTAGTAGTAGTAGTAGTAGTAGTAGTAGTAGTAGTAGTAGAAGTGTAGTAGTAGTAGTAGTAGTAGTAGTAGTAGTAGTAGTAGTAGTAGTAGTATTAGCAGCATGTTCCTCTATTTTCCATGTGGAGGATTATTAATACAGCCTAGATATAAGTATTATACTACTGTAGAAGGTGTAGTAACCGTTGTAGCCGTTGAGCCAGTAGCAGCATCAGCAACAGCAGCAGCAGTAGTTGTTGTTGTTGTTGTATTAGTAGCTGTAGTGTTGTTGGTAGTGGTGGTGGTTATACTACTTACTACTACAACTATTACTACTACTATCACCACCACCACCGCTGCTACCACTATTACCACTGTCACTACTATTTCTACTACTACCACCACAACTAATGCTACAAATACAAATACAAAAACAACAACTGCTTCCACTACAACTACCACAACTAACCCACTCATTACCACAGGACGACGATACCGACAGCCACTTCGACTCCGCTGACGTCTCCAACAGCTACCATCCCAGCCCAGCGGCGGAGACGTTCACGGGCTGTTTACGGAGGATGTGGAGCTGTCTGATGAGCACCTCAAACAAGAGGTCAGTGGTTCAGGCCAACTGTAACAGGGGCGAAGGCACTAACAAATGTATTAGGGGAAGAGTTCAAGCTTTGTTTTAAGTGCACATTTTTATTATTAATTATTATTATTATTATTATTATTATTATTATTATTATTATTGTTATCATTATTATTATTTGCTGAAAGGCAAGTGAAAATAATATATTTTAACTAATCTGAAATATATAAACAAACTTTTACGAAGAAAAGAACATCTATGCTTGGTTGGGTGGCCACTTAAGCCCACTTTGGAATGTTCTAGAAAAGGAGAGACGACCTTCCCTGCTAAAACAGTTTATTTGTGGAGGGTGGGGAGGGTACTCATCCTTTCACAGTGACATCTGGAGTAAGACAGGGGTGTGTCTTATCACCACTGCTGTTTATCACCTACATCGACAGTATATGCAAGAATGCCAAGCCCATGAATGAAGATCTTAGTAAGATCAACGAATTACTTCTTCGCAGATGACCAGGCCTTGATGGCAGATACAGCCATGAATTGCAACAACATCTAACATCCATGAATGAAGAATGTAAAACAAATAATATGAGAATCAACACTGAAAAGACAGAAGTAATGTCAATAGGGAAAAAAGAAGACAGATCTAAACATAGCAATAGAATACAAAGGCATTAAACAGGGCATCTGAGTTTAAATATCTGGGAACTACATTTACTGAAGATGGGAAATTGGATAAAGAAATTGACATTAGATGCAGTAAAGCAAACCAAGTATTGGGACAGCTAACCCCCCTCTTACAGCATAAGACAATCCCAATCAGCACAAAGAGACATCTTATTCAAAGCATATTTATTCCAACTCTGTGCTACCAGTGCCAGACATGGTCACTCACAACAAACCATAAAAGAAAATTAGTAACCACGGAAATGAGATGTCTGAGAAGGGCTGTAGGAGTGACCATAAGAGATAAGATCAGGAATGAGATCATAAGAGAAAAAGTCGGCACAGAACCAATTCTGGATTACATACGAAGACAGCAAGTGAAATGGTTTGCCCACTTAGAGAGAATGCCTTGTGACACCATACCATACAAAGCATACATGGAAAGAAAAGAAGGACGTAGAACATGGGGTAGACCAAGAACAAGATGGAAGGATAACATCAGAGAAACTCTACAACAGCACGATGTGCCTATGGTCGAGGCGGCCAGAAGAGCTAGAAACAGAACCTTATATCTCCCTCGACACCCACAGCGGTAAAAGAGGAAGTGAAGAAGAAGGGAAGGGTACTTGGGCTGCATGGACCTGTAGGTTCCAGCACAAAGCAAACGAAAAGCAGGGGTATCATACATCCAAAGGAACTAAATGCACAACCCATCTAGGAGCCTGGTGTGCTGTTTGTTGCTAGTTATGGGCGTCAGATTAAGGCAGTGAAATGTGAATACAAAGCTTATTGAAAGAAGGAAGGGGAACAAGGTACACACAACAGACAAATCGATGTTTCGGTCGGGGCTTTTTTTGACTATTGCTTCACAACAATAAGCAAGGGCGAGGTACTCCAAACCCCCCCCCCCCCCCCCCCCCCATCAGTTCTCACCGGGGTAGGGGGTTAGGGGGGGGGGGGTCAAGTGAATAACTGTGAAATATAGAAAGTGAAAAAAAAAAACGTGATGTGGAATAGACGAAATAAAAATCAAGGAGCAAAAATTGTAATAAAAATAATGATGACAATGTATAATAGTAGTAGGAGATCCATAACACCAAATACAATTATATATATATATATATATATATATATATATATATATCTATATATATATATATAATATATATATATATATATATATATATATATGTGTGTGTGTGTGTGTGTGTGTGTGTGTGTGTGTGTGTGTAAACGTCGCCTCTGTAGCTAAGTCGATGCGAACGCTTCGTAATGCCGGGATGCCATGGTTCGATCCCACTGTGAGCCATACTCCTTACGTTAGTTTCGACAGTGGTATCAAAAAAGCTGACCGTCCGGTAAGCAATGGCAAACTACTGGACGTAAATTTGCATAGAAAAACCACACAGCACCCAGGGGCTGTTGGGGTTGGTTTTGCAACGCCCTGTAAAGGATACGCAACTAACCTATTTTTAAACAACAATATATACGATTTTCGAGTAAGTTGCCATGGCACCGACTTTGCAGACACGTTGCGGTACTGTAGCACATCATGGATGATGTGGTGTGCTAAACCTTGACTGATGACAAGATGTGCGGCAGCGTCAACCACAGTCAATGGGCTCAACGAGGCCTTGAAGTTTGAACAACGGATCAATATCATGGCACAAAGATAAGTGCTCAGTTTTTCTTCTAGCTCAAGTCTGTCCGAAGAAGCTCAGCACAGTGCACAGGCTCTGTAGCACCGGCGAGGATCCTGAAATACTTTGGGTATAATTTTAACTGAATCTTATGTAGAAGTTCTTGGCAAGAAAGAACTGAAGCATAAAGCGTGGATAAGACCAGAAACCATTAAACTGATTGAAGAAAGGAAAAGTAAAAAAGCAGACTTAATCAATAGCAAAACTAGAGCTGCTAAAGCTAAAGCTAGTGCTCAGGATAAATACACATAAGACAATAAGGACGTTAGGAGGCATATAAGGGCAGATAACGTGAAATATTGAAATGATCTAGCACAAGAAGCGGAGACAGCAGCAGCAAAAGGAAACCTCAGAGAACTTTACAGTAACACAAGAACATTAGTAGGTAAATATAGTCAGCCAACTGGGTCAATCAAAAATAATCAATGAAAGGCACTTACTAACACATAAGATCAAATGGACAGATGGGCGAAATATTTTGAAATACCAGGTTCTAAATAGACCAGGTCCAGAGGTTTACCCAGATATCCAGCCTTTAGAAATGGAACTAGATATCAACTGAGAGATACCATCTAAAGAGGAAATTAGAAAAGTTATCAATCTTGTCAAGGAAGGAAAGTCAGCAGGTCCAGATGGTATCACAGCAGAAGCCATTAGGGCCAACATAAACACATCAACGGAATTGCTACAAAGATTATTCAGTAAAGTCTGGGAGACCGAAGAAATATCTGCAGACTGGAGAGAAGGATATCTTGTGAAACTGCCACAAAAAAGATGATCTACAGGAGTGTGAAAACTATAGAGGAATTATGTTGCTGTCAGTTCCTGGAAAAATATTAAGTATAATTATTTTGGAAAGATTAAAAGATGCTATTGATAAAAAGCAAAGAGATGAATGGCAGGTTTTCGGCCCAACTGATCCTATACTGACCAGATAGCTACATTGCGTATAATAATAGAACAAAGCATTGAACTGAACTCACCACTTTACATTGGATTTATAGACTATGAAAAAGCATTTGACAGCATTGATAGGAATCTATCTGGAAATTGATGGGGCACTATGGAATCCCACAGAAAATTATGAACTTAGTAAAGGCAACATATAAAGACATGAAATGTCGAGTTCTTCATGGGGGAAAGCTAACAGGTGCATTTGACATAAAAACATGTGTGCGACAGGGATGTCCTTTGTCGCCCCTCTTATTTTTACTGGCTATAGACTGGACTATGAAAACAGTAACTGCCAACACCAAGAATGGAATTCAGTGGACCCCTACAAAACAGCTTGATGATCTGGACTTTGCTGATGATATTGCTCTTCTGTCCCATTCACGGAATCAGATGCAAGATAAATTAAATATACTTAATGCGAGATCACAGCAGCTTGGTCTGAAAATCCATAAAGGAAAAACAAAGATAAAGAGAATAAATGGGGCAAATAGCAATGTGGTTTCTCTTAATGGCACCACACTCCAAGAAGTGAAGTCGTACACTTATTTGGACAGTAATGTGGATAACGATAGAGGAACTGGTAGAGATATTAAAATAAGAATGCAAAAGGCAAGAGCAGCTTTCATAGCACTATGGAGTCTGTGGAGGTCAAGAGAAATTAAAATAAACACTAAACTTGAAATGTGTAATTCCAATCTCAAATCAGTACCATTGTATGGGGCGGAAACATGGAAAACAACTAAGGCAATTACTAATAAACTACAGACATTCATTAACTGGGGCCTTCGCAGAATAGAGGGAGTTATATGGTATGATAGAATTTCTAATGTAGAGCTTTGGGAGAGTACCAAGCAAGCTCCAGTGGATCAAGAGGTAAAGAAAAGACGCTGGCGTTGAATAGGACACATATTAAGAACATCGGAGAACAATATGACTAGAATGTATTTGTATTGGAACCCACAGGGGCATAGGAATAAAGGAAGGCCACAAAACACCTGGAAAAAAGAGCTGGAGAATGAAGTTGAAAAGATAGGGAGGACATGGGGAGAGCTGCATGCGATAGCAAAGGATAGAACGACTTGACGTGAGTTGGTTGAGGGGGCCTATGTTCCATCGGGGCATAGAAAGGCAAAAGAAGAAGATTTTTAACTCCAAATTTTGCCCGAGCAGCGAATTTTTAACTCCAAATTTTGCCCGAGCAGCGCCGTTGGGCTACTCTTTTCGATTTCCAACTGCCTAGAGATTTTTTTTACGTGTGCAACAATGCACACTGGCGTCCGATCTCACTATCCAAAGACAAGGAAGAGATGTCAATGTCCACGTAAAGGATCCCAGCTCTTACCGGCGATTGAACCTGGAACCTCTAACATTCGAGGCGGACACCATGCCTCGAGACCAGGCAGCCCCCCTCCCTCCTCTTTCTCTTTTACGAGGCCTTCAATGGCTGTATTGGTTCTGTGGTCACTACTCGGTGTGTCTGACCAGGTCATGTGCAGTCTGCACAGAAGTCACGCATGTTTGAAACTTCCTGCTCTTCCCTTGCTGGACTCACTGGCATTCATCACCAGACTGGACCTTCATTCGTTGATGGTTTTCTAGAAGTTTCACCCTTTCACTGATCAACAAACGCATAATAGAACGCTGCTCCCATTTTCAGGCTTTTATTGTCACGTCACTGTGTTCACTTGCACAGTGTTGTCTCGTGCTTCATACTCTTGACATCCCTATTATTAACAGGTTTCAGGCAGGGCTGTAACAGCAATACGGGCCCCTGGACAAACGAAAGTGCTGGGACCCCTAGCATAACTGCTTGCAGGAATGAACTGTAACTGGGGGATAATACTAAACATAAATTTACTTCATTGCCACTTCAATCAAACTGGTGGAGAAGGCGGGGGTGAGATAAGGGTTAGGGGAGTTATCATTTTGGTATTATATTACATAAAATAATTGTTATGTGAAATATATAAGTTCAGCTGTTGAGGTCCACGTTTCACAGTCATATGTAAATGTAAATGTACTAATAGCTAGAGCTCTGAGTAATCGAATCTGAAGTTTGCATGAAATGTTTTTAGAACTCCATAATGTTTGCTGCTTGGCGAGGACTGATGTTGTCTGGGCAATCCTAGTCGCTTGACATACATATATAATCATGGAGCCCATATACTCGTGGGGCCCTTGGGCAAGTGTCCCAGCGGGAACATCCGATAAGATGGCTTTAGTTACAAGACAGTGGCTTGAGTTAGAAGATGAGCGAAGAACTAATGGGTTTCATCCGAGTGCCATGATGTTGATCCGTTGAACAAACAACCAAACAAACAAACAAACAAACAGTGGCATTGTTATTGTCATTTCTATTGTACTTCTAAGGTTTTCATTGGAAGCCCTCACATGCAAGCATAATAATATTTTGACTTGTCCACGTAAGTAAATCTGGTCACATGTGGTGCATTGTTTAGTACTGAATGAGTTGACTAACCTTCCAATATGGGCATTCGAACTTACGATCACCCAACTCTAGCTTGTCCACGTCTGCTCACTAAATTATTGGTGTGTGATTAACATCATTGGTAAACGGCTCTAGCCCAGTATCCATTAAACATAAACGTGGAGGAAAAATTTTAAAAAGGAAGACACAGCGATCAATTCCAGAAATGTCTTGACATGTTGTCAGAGGATGAAAACGGACATCTAATCGGAGAGAGGTTGTCGTGTGAGATGGCGATCCAAGTGCTGACGATGATGAGGAAGACTATGATGAGGATGAGGATGTTAATTGTTGTGATGATGATTAACAAACAAATCTGCCCATAATTGTTTTCTTCTGTTTCTTTCGTTCCCAGATTCAACAAGAATGTCAGGAATGCCCTTGGCTTGAACAGCGTTAGTAAAATCGACAAGGTGTCCAGAGTTCTCTTCCCTGCAGCCTTCTGTGGACTCAACATCGTTTATTGGATGTCATATTTGTAGCTTTGCAAATATTTATCAAACATTTTAAAAATAATAATAATAACAATCATAATAAATAATAATAATAATAATAATAATAATAAATAATAATAATAATAAATAATAATAATAATAATAATAATAATAATAATAACAATAATAAAAATAATAATAAAGTCTTTTTTGACGATCGCAACAGTACTGTGTACCAGCACCTTTTAAAATGTATGATTTTATTCAGCGCTGCTCTAGCAGACATTTTACAAACTGTACCGGCACCTTTTTAAGTCATTTGTGGTGAGGATCGGCACAATTTCTCTCTCTCCCCCCCCCCCTTTTTTTTCCCCCTTAAAATGGCACTAATAATATAATAATAATTGTAGCTGTTTTTTTTAAAGAAAAGATACTCGTCACAAAATGTTTAAACAGGTAACAGTACCCACCACAAAGTGTCTAAACAGGTGACGGTATCCACCACAAAGTGTCTAAACAGGTGACGGTATCCACCACAAAGTGTCTAAACAGGTGACGGTACCCACCACAAAGTGTCTAAACAGGTGACGGTACCCACCACAAAGTGTCTAAACAGGTGACGGTATCCACCACAAAGTGTCTAAACAGGTGACGGTACCCACCACAAAGTGTCTAAACAGGTGACGGTACCCACCACAAAGTGTCTAAACAGGTGACGGTATCCACCACAAAGTGTCTAAACAGGTGACGGTACCCACCACAAAGTGTCTAAACAGGTGACGGTACCCACCACAAACTAGATATTATAGTGCGCTGAATAAACAATTGATGCGGAAAAGGTGCCGGTACCGCATACAACCAGAAAACAAGCCATATTAATGGGGAAAAAAAATAGTCTTTTCTTTTTTTTTTTTTGTCCCATACATTAAAATACTGCATCTTCAGTCAGTCAACAGAAACATGTCGTGTATTTTCTGCCGCAAACGTCCAGGTGTGCGAGGTAACGAGCAGACCGATATATTAGCTGCTTTCGCTCCTCTATGCAGGAATTATTTCAGGATAAAGCGGATATGGCGAAGACTCTCAGGATCAAATTGTCAGTGCAAAAGAAAAAAAAGGAAATCCATACACTGAAAGACAAATTCAACTTGGAGTAAGTAGAGGTTCTAGAAAATATTTGATACCGAGGGCTGGGAGTGAGAGGGGGAGAGGGGAAACCAATGCTGACTTTTATTTAGCTTGCAACTGGTATCTATTAGCATGCTGACTTTTCGTTGGCTGCTGAAGAAGGGGATGGAGCAGGTGTGGGAATGTCCCGAGTGTAGTGATGCCAGTACTTGATTGACTGATACATTCATTCACCCGTCAGTCAGCATAAATAGAATTGTCACATGTAGTGAGAAGGACTTTTTAATATTGAAAGTCAAGTTACGCATTTTTAATGCTAATGCTATTTCAGTTTTAACATATGCAAGAAAGTTTGATTACCACTGAAGAAGTGGAATCAAAGTTAAGTGCATTTGAAAACACTGAGGAAAATGTTAAACACAGAATGTAACGAATACAAATGGGGTCTTCTTTTGTCGTTTCACTGATGTTAGGTTTTAGCTCAGTGTTGTGGTTGTGTCGTCTCACTGAAGTCAGGTTTTAGCCCAGTGTCGTGGTTGTGTCGTCTCACTAATGTCAGGTTGTAGCCCAGTGTCCTGGTTGTGTCGTCTCTCTGATGTCAGGTTGTAGCCCAGTGTCGTGGTTGTGTCGTCTCACTGATGTCAGGTTGTAGCCCAGTGTCGTGGTTGTGTCGTCTCACTGATACCAGGTTGTAGCCCAGTGTTGTGGTTGTGTCGTCTCACTGATACCAGGTTGTAGCCTAGTGTCGTGGTTGTGTCGTCTTACTGATACCAGGTTGTAGCCTAGTGTCGTGGTTGTGTCGTCTCACTGATACCAGGTTGTAGCCCAGTGTCGTGGTTGTGTCGTCTTACTGATACCAGGTTGTAGCCTAGTGTCGTGGTTGTGTCGTCTCACTGATACCAGGTTGTAGCCCAGTGTCGTGGTTGTGTCGTCTCACTGATACCAGGTTGTAGCCCAGTGTCGTGGTTGTGTCGTCTCACTGATACCAGGTTGTAGCCCAGTGTCGTGGTTGTGTCGTCTCACTGATGTCAGGCTGTAGCCCAGTGTCGTGGTTGTGTCGTCTCACTGATGTCAGGTTGTAGCCCAGTGTCGTGGTTGTGTCGTCTCACTGATACCAGGTTGTAGCCCAGTATCGTGGTTGTGTCGTCTCACTCATGTCAGGTTGTAGCACAGTATCGTGGTTTTGTCATCTCACTGATACCAGGTTGTAGCCCAGTGTCGTGGTTGTGTCGTCTCACTGATGTCAGGTTGTAGCCCAGTATCGTGGTTGTGTCGTCTCACTGATGTCAGGTTGTAGCCCAGTGTCGTGGTTGTGTCGTCTCACTGATGCCAGGTTGTAGCCCAGTGTCGTGGTTGTGTCGTCTCACTGATGTCAGGTTGTAGCCCAGTGTTGTGGTTGTGTCGTCTCACTGATTTCAGGTTGTAGCCCAGTGTCGTGGTTGTGTCGTCTCACTGATGTCAGGTTGTAGCCCAGTATCGTGGTTGTGTCGTCTCACTGATGTCAGGTTGTAGCCCAGTGTCGTGGTTGTGTCGTCTCACTGATGTCAGGTTGTAGCCCAGTGTCGTGGTTGTGTCGTCTCACTCATGTCAGGTTGTAGCCCAGTGTCGTGGTTGTGTCGTCTCACTGATACCAGGTTGTAGCCCAGTGTCGTGGTTGTGTCGTCTCACTGATACCAGGTTGTAGCCCAGTGTCGTGGTTGTGTCGTCTCACTGATACCAGGTTGTAGCCCAGTGTCGTGGTTGTGTCGTCTCACTGATGTCAGGTTGTAGCCCAATGTCGTGGTTGTGTCGTCTCACTGATACCAGGTTGTAGCCCAGTGTCGTGGTTGTGTCGTCTCACTCATGTCAGGTTGTAGCCCAGTGTCGTGGTTGTGTCGTCTCACTGATGTCAGGTTGTAGCCCAGTGTTGTGGTTGTGTCGTCTCACTGATGTCAGGTTGTAGCCCAGTATCGTGGTTGTGTCGTCTCACTCATGTCAGGTTGTAGCCCAGTGTCGTGGTTGTGTCGTCTCACTCATGTCAGGTTGTAGCCCAGTGTCGTGGTTGTGTCGTCTCACTGATGCCAGGTTGTAGCCCAGTGTCGTGGTTGTGTCGTCTCACTGATGTCAGGTTGTAGCCCAGTGTTGTGGTTGTGTCGTCTCACTGATTTCAGGTTGTAGCCCAGTGTCGTGGTTGTGTCGTCTCACTGATGTCAGGTTGTAGCCTAGTGTCGTGGTTCTGTCGTCTCACTGATACTAACACAAGAACCTTCCCCCCCCCCCCCCCCCCCACCACCCCCCAATTGGACTACAGTTTACTTGGTAACCATTTGTGGTGCCCCTCTGTAACTGTGCTGTACGGCTTAAAGGTTGAACGGGGCCTCCAAAATTTGAACCAGGGCCTGTTTGCTCATCCTTGGGATGTTTATCCTACAGATTGCAATCTTGAAACGAGATATTTCAATTCTTTTTTAAACAAAAAAGGTACTGGCCCAGATTATATTTATGATATTAAAACAATCGTAAGCGATAAAACGGAATGAGAGATTTAGCTGCGAGGCCAGATGATGATGACGAGGATAAAGAGGAGGAGACGGAGGATAATTATGAATAAGGATCCGACGTTGACCCAACTTACAGTCGGTATCAGGACATGTCTAGGGAATAAAGATAAATTGTGCGATGCTGACAGTATCATCCACACACGGCCGTTTGATCTTTAAAAAATAATATGGTTCTAGCAGCATGCAACCTAATGCGCCACTTTATATGTTCCACAGAACTCGCCGACTAATGCTAACTTCTGTTGTAGACTGCACCAATATTTGATTACAGTTGTATACTATCATTGTTATGTACACATTTGTCGTTGGCATTTTTCTGACAGTGTCCAAAATTGATTGAACGTTTGGTTGACTGGCTAATTCTTTTTCTTCGTGTTCACAGTCTGCAAATTCTGACGGAAAGTTCTGGTAGCTCGACATATGATGCTACTCATGTTGTATAGACCAACAGGCACTCGATGGGGGATGAGGTCCACATCACGCCGGCAGCTTTTATTTCCTATGATATTACCTGGTACCCATTTGAGGATGTGCAGACCGAGAAAATAAGGTTAAGATTGAAAAAAAAAAAACACTCATTCCGAAATGGATTTGAACTTAAGTCCTTCGGGTCGGCAGACTAGCCTTTAATCGCTACCCTCTTATGGACAGCAGGGCTCCATTCTAGGCTGACGATGTCCATGGGGCGTCCTAGGAGGTCAATGTGGGTCCACATGGGTCGAATCATCAGAAGGTCACAACCTGCAGCCACACCAAGTCAAGTATTCTAGAAGTATGTAATTAAAGTTTCTCCGTGCACAAATCACATCGTACAAGTTCCTCCAAGAAGCGACCCAAACATCGCTGCCACTGTCACATATCCAGTTTCAGTCTCCTGAACTCGTATCTGTCCCGGCGCTCCTTTTTTTTTTTTGGGGGGGGGGGGGTGTGGGGGGAGGGAGTAGAGCCACTGTACCTTGACAAGCATACCGTTAAAGTCGGGATGCGTCTGCTTGAGAGGTGAGGAACAAACAGTCTGCTTACAAGTGTGTTATCTGTAAAACAAATGGGCACGCAGAACTCAAGCTCTGGAGTAATTCTAAAGTTCATCAGTAGACGAACAACTAGAACTTCTCGCTAGAGCTTACAGAGGTGGGCGCGAAGAAGAAGAACAAGAATGGCATGAACGAGTGTGCACGGCAGCACTCATAATGTATACGCAACACACACACATTCACACACACACTCATGCACACTCATGGTAGCCGCCGTGGTGTGGAGGCTAGACGCTTGCCTGCGGATGGAAAGGTCTTGTGTTCTGGTCCTGACAGAGCCGGACTGTCTTTTTTGTATTTTTTTTAAAAAGGATTTCGGCTGGCAGGTAAAACCTGCCTTAAACAG